GCATAAATTCTACGATTTTCTCTGTATTTTCACTACAGGTTTCATATTTTAAGCCCTAAAAACTTAATATAATCATAGATAATCATCACTTACAATTATCCTATAATTCTACATCGATCAAACAACATCAGGACATCATTATTCATCTAAAATTCATCAATTTTCATCATACAACATCACATACATTCAATTCATGAACAAGACAGCAATCACCTCTAACCCCACATACCAATCATCATGAACTCAATTATAGAGTCAGAACCCCACCCTTACCTTGGATTGAAGGTCACTCTATAATCTTCCGGTTGAAACCTTGTTCTGTCGTTTTTCCTCTTTTTCCAGCAGCTTCACGTTCTTCTTCTCAATCCTTATTCTTCTACTGCCTCCTCTTTTCTATTCTTTCTAACCACAACAAAATAACCTATTATTCTTTATTCCTTATTGGGCTCAAATCTAATACACCCCCTTATTACTTCTATTCCTTAAAAACAAGCCCACATCAATAATATTATACTTCTAATATTATTTCACCACTTAATAAAATACTTAAATCCAATTAATCATAACATATCTTCTCAAATATTCCAAAAATAATTTATTTAAATAATTAATTAAATTACGGGTGTTTCATTTGTCATCATCAAAAAGGGGGAGAATGTAAAATCAAGCTTCTCAAATGCACTTTTGTTTTGATGAAGACAAATCATGAGTGACAAAGAAGGCAAAGATTATTGATCAAGCTAAAAGCATCTATGGATAAAGCCTTCAGTTCAAGCACTTAGAAAATTTCAAGGTATAATGATAATACTTGCTTTGAACTTAAGACATAGATGCTCAATGGTCAAAAGAAATATTTTATATTGTTCAAATCTTTACTCAAGTTTTTCTAAGCTAAAAATCATTTTTCACTTGAGTGCAATTGATTTGCATATTAGTGCAATCGATTGCATGCTTCAATTTTTTTAAACATTTGCTACTGTTTCTAAGTGCAATCGATTTGCATGTTTGTGCAATCGATTGCACTTAATCAATTTTTGCTACTGACTTCAAATGCAACCGATTTACACTCTTGTGCAATCGATTGCACACTCAAAATATTTGAATTTCTAGCTGTTGAAACCCCGTGCAATCGATTTACACAAAGGGTGCAATCGATTGCATGCTGCACGATTTTGAAAAATAGCAGCTTTGCACATGCCTGTTCATAACACCATTTCATGGAAACCTTTTACTCAATCTTGACAATTGTTCATGATTCATCTCCAGAACTTTATGATGTTTCAAAAAGGTGCTATGAACATATAAATACTCATTTTCAAAATCATTTCATCAGCTCTTCCAATTATATTTTCTGAATTTTCAAATAACAAACTCAAGTTGTTATACATTTTCATACACAAGTTTTCTGCATTCTTTCACATATTATTAACCAGAAAACTTTGAGCATTATATATTTTGAGTCATTGTATACTATTATCATTGGAAGAGAAGATCATTTCATTGATTAAATCACTCAAAGTGATCATTGCTACTCAAACTCACTCAAATCAAATATTGCTATATACTTGCTTATTTTTCAGGATTGTTGGAAATAAGTTTAAGTGGTTTTATAAATCTTGTTTTTCCATGATTGTTGGATACAAGTGAAGTCACTTTGAGAGGATTGTTCTCGTTGTTGACATAGTGAAAATCCAAGAGGATTGTTGTTGGTCCAAGATGATTGTTCTTGGTTTTGGGTAGTTCTTGTTTAGTTTGCTACAATAAGGAAATCTCTTTCATGTTGAAAGGGGACTAGAGTACTCTCGGACAATGAGGACAACCCGGATATATCGCTTGTGTCACTTTATTTTTCTGCACTTTACTCTTTCATAAACTCACTATAAACCAGAAAAATAATATCCATCATCACTAAAACCAGAATTTTTTAAAGTACCTAATTCACCCCCCCCCCCCCCCCCCCCCCCCCTCTTAGGTGCACTTCGTACTTACAGATTTTAGTTCTAGGGTTTGTGAGTTTGTTGTTAGAAATTGCATAGATTTAGGAAGATTAGGGATTTGGGATCGTTGTTGATTGGTTCTGAAAATATTTGATTTGGTTCTATGTTCTTGTAATGAATTTTATTTACTGTAATTGATTTTATTTGTTGTATAATTCCAGATTTGATTTGTAATGTGAATTTTGATTTTATTTTTATTTAATTTGTTTCTTTCAATTTAGGATTTGATTTAGTGAAATTAATTTTCTGGATTTGATGTTAAGGAAGATTGAGATTGGATTTGATTTAGTATAAAATTTAATTTGCGGATTTGATTGAGTTTTTGATTCTGCAGATTTACTTGAATATTTAGTTTATAGAAAGATTTAATTTTGTTTCGATTTCTGGATCTATTATTGATTTAGGTTTTAGATTTATTTTTAGTTCTCCTGCTGATTTCTACAATAACTCAAAAACAAGCGTTAATTTTGGTTTCAATTTGCACAATTGCTGTTTTTACTTATGGGCATGCGTGTTAGTTTTGCTAAATTGGGCTGCACTACTATTTTTCCCAGCGTGTTTTCTTGTTTATAGCAAAAAAACAATTTTTAAAATTCAGCTGGGCTTTGCGCGAATTTTATTGAATTGGGCCCTAGCCGATTATTTAGAAAATGGGCTCGCGCTTTTTTTCTATCAAACAATATTACTTTTATTACAGCAAAAGCTTTTTAAATAAAATCAGGCCCAAATGGCCTATTTTCCCAAAACAAACAAATTTAAAAAATCAATTTTATCAGTAGTAAAAATCAAATTTAAAAATATATATTCTTTATTTATTTATAATAATAATAATAAATAGTTTTTTAATATTAATATTTCTCTTATATATCTCTTTTTCATTAAAACAAAAAATAGCAAAAATAATAATAATATATTTTCTTATTCTAAACATCAGATGAGCCATCTTAATGGGCCTTAACCACACCTTCTTTTTGCTAACAACAATCAAAACGTTAATGGACCCAATTCTAGTGGGCTTGTATATTGCAATTTCAACCTCCCCGTTTACTAATAACATTAACACTAAAATGTGTTTATGATTTAAGAACTTAATAATTATTTGAATATTTTTCCATTTTCGAACCGCATGGGCCATTGGCCAACATGCCTCACGAAGGTTCACAGATACACGAGTCTTTCTGATTTAGAAAGTCCCGCTCTCCTAGATTTAAAATACACCCATAATATTGGATAAAGATGGACCATCAGATACTGTTGTACCATATTTAATTAAATATTTCTTTATTTCAATCTCGAAAAATAAAATCATCGAGGTAAGACAAATTTGGGGTACGACAATGCCCGCCTGTCCCATTTTTTGTGGGCTTTTGCGGGGCGGGCCTAAACGGGGCGGACATGCCCGTTTGCCACCCCTACTAACACCTTCCCTTTTCATAACCTACTCCCCGAACTCAAAAATTCTCAAAAGGTTTTTCCTGTTCTTTTCACCCTTTCCTTTATTGGATAAAAGAAAAGTCGGTGTCGACTCTTGCTATCCGCAACATTTGTGATAAAGCGCAAAATCCAAAAGTCAGTTCTCCCACCGTATTACATTCGCCTTTGCGATTTAGGCGCTTATGGGGCTTTTTACCTCTATTGGGCCTAATTCATTCACCATGAACCCTTCTCTGATCGAATGCACTTATGAAACCTTAATCATCTACCTGTGAGATTATCCATGGTCGACATGCTTATGTAGTCGACTCCTCATAATTTAATACTCTTTAATACTCTTAAAAAAAACCTTTTTAACTTTTGGTTTGGATTTCTCTCTTTATGAAAATCCTAACCAACAATGATATATTTTATTATTGAATTATTTGAGTTCCTAATTATCAAACTACAGGGAATGATATATCATTATATTTACTAATGACATTAATGTAGGTCAAGAGACTATTTTGGTTTCTTTGATTTTTATTTTCTAATTTATAATCTTATTTTTACAATTTTAAATAAATTAATTAAATTATATATGTAATTAGTTTGAGTCAATTTTTTATGGTTAATAATTTTTAATTATAATACCTTTTTATTTAAATTTATTATAGTAATTTAAATCAATTTACTATCTCAAATAATTTTTTTTAAAATAAATAAATTCATTCATTTATTATTATTATAATAATTTATTTTGAATAAAAAATAAAATTTTATTATCATCATTGTAAATTATTGTTAATTGGCATTTAAAATCAGTATTTAATTTTTAAATTTGAAGATGTTTCTAAATTAAGATACAATTTTTTTTTAAATATAAAATTTTGTTAGTTTAAAAAATAATAAAATTATTGAGTAAAATCTTTCAATTTTAATTATAATTTTATATTTTATTATACTATTGTAATTTCTCCTATTAATCTTATCAAATGAGTTTAATAATAATATGAAGATTGAAATTTTTTATTAAAATATTAAATATTAATAAGAATATAAAATTATTAATTAAAATATTAAATATTAACAAGAAGATGAAGTTATTGATCAAAATTTTGAATATTAACGAAAATATAAAGATCAAATTTTTAAATATTAACTAAAAACAAAGTTACTGATCAAAATTTTAAATATTAACTAAAACATGAAATAAATATAAAGATCAAATTTTTGAATATTAACTAAAAACAAAATTACTGATCAAAATTTTAAATATTAACTAAAACATGAAATTACTAATTAAAATATTGAATATTAACGTAAAAAAAATTAATTAATTATCCATTCAATTTCTATAAAATATTTTTCTATTAGTTATAAATTCAATTAATTTTTTTGAATAATAATTAAAAATTATGATATTACAGCGTAGCAAAGGAGTATGAATATTTTTAAAAGTAATTAGAGTTGAAATTAAGTTAGTATTTGAGTGCTGTCTATAGTATGCTCTGAGCTCTCTTCTCCTTCTTAGTCGTGACACACTGACATATTCCAAGACTCCCAATTCGTCGCCGATTTATTTCAACCATGGAAGTTGATCCTCAGAACTACGATGACATTGTATGTGTTATATCCATCTCGCACAACCCTTCCAACCACACTTTCCGATTTCACTTTTTTCCAGCCCTAGAATCAATCCCCACTCAAATCACTTCATTCTTTCTTACTCTTAAACCCTAGAATTTACTCAATTCTTGAATTCTTACTGTTTTTTTGCAATGATGTTCTTCAATTATCATGTTTACAAGATGTTGTTTTTCTGAATTTCTATATAACTCAAGCTAATCAGGATTTGTTGTTATGGTGGATGGATCCAGTTAATATTAGCATTTTAGGGTTTTATTGGGTTTCTGTCAACAACTATGATTTGCTTTTAACTTAGTTCTGTAAATATTTTGACTTCATGTTTGTATTTTACAGTCTATAAATGAAAAAGATGTTCCCAACATTGTTCTCTCATACCTTATACATAACTGCTATGAAGAATCCGCAGAGTCGTTCATTGCCGGCGCCGGGACGACGCGTCCGACAGATTATTTGGATAACATGGAGAAAAGAAAACGTATGTTTATTCTTGTTTTTTCTGTTTTCAAGGTTGGTTGAAGACCTTTGGTTAATTGTTCTAATGCCATTTTATTTGCTTCAGTTCTTAAAACTTTGCTTAATATCAAAATTTGTAACATATGATATAACACATTGATGTTGGATTACTCAACCTTAAATGGGTAGGATACTAGTGGCGGTGCTTGTTTGAAATTTATGAGGGGCTAAAATCCAAATGTATAAAGAATATATATGGTAGTATTGTCAATTATTTTCAACATTAGTTTACCTGTCTAGTTCAGTGTTTTTAGTAGTGGATCACAGAAAATAGCGGTTCACCAAAAAACCGATATGAGAAATATCGGATAGCGTAGCGGGCAAATAGTAGAAGCTGCAAAGCGGTTACAAAATCTTGTGTCCACACAGACTGAGTTCAAACCTGATCTTAAACATTTTTCCCAAGAAAATATGAAAGGGGATTTATTTAGGCCATAAAAAATACTTAAAATGGGTTCTTCATGGCTTGAATACAGAACCCGAAAGCTACGAAACAGAACTAAGCAAGCTAGTAAAATACTTGGTAATATTTGGACATGATATATACACATATACATATACATTGATACTAGAATATGTACATATATCTGGTAAAAATAGGAAAATTTTGGGCAGGCCATAGCCTACCCTAGTTCACACTAAGATTGGTCACTACGACACACTTTTTGCTCTTATTGCTACTTGAAACATACACCGCTTTTTTACAATTGCGTGTGGCATTTTTGCATATGAATTTACTTTTCCCCCTTCATACCCTTGCATTAAGATACCAAATTGTCTTCTCTTGACTACTAAGTATTTCCTTCCCTCCTCCGCACTTTGGTTATGGAAGATGGCGGGAGTAGTCCTCCTACTATATATGCAGCTAATTGTTTTCAATTGGAGGATATGTTAGGTTGTAAAGCTTCCCTGATTGTAAATTCCAATTGTCTTTTAGAAATCATTCACTATGCAATGGAGGGAAATGCACTTAAGGCTATTGAGCTAACTGAGCAGCTGACACCGGAAATCCTGGAGAAGAATAAGGACTTGCTATTTGACCTTTTAAGCCTTCATTTTGTAGAGCTTGTCCGCTCTAGGAAATGGTAAGATGAGGTTAGTTTTTTATTCCTAGTAAAATGTTGCGAATTTTTTGCCTTAATAGAATCTCATGTTATTGGCAGCACAGAAGCTTTGGAGTTTGCTCAGACCAAGTTGAGCCCTTTTGGAAAAGAGGCAAAATATATGGAAAAACTTGAAGTATGTTTGCTTTTTGCTTAATGATTCAGTCTTACATATTTGCGTGCGTTTGTGCATTTTTCAAGGTTTAAGTGACTAGAAAGCTACCCTTCCTCATTACAGGATTTTATGGCCCTTCTTGCTTATAAGGAACCAGAGAATTCTCCAATGTTTCATTTACTTAGCTTGGATTATCGTCAAGAGTTTGCAGATAATTTGAATCGAACTATCCTTGGTTGGTTAACTTGACTATACTCCCTGTGTAGTATGTATTTTATTACAAATCTCAATACATTATTTTACCCCTATTATATATTATGCATAATTTTCGTCATCATTTCTGGTGATATTGGCGATTGGCAGCTTACTTTAACCTTCCCAGCTACACAGCAATGGAGAGGCTTGTACAGCAGGCGACAGTAGTTAGACAATGCTTAAATGAGGAATCTGGAAAGGTAATAGGCAATTGATGATTTGCCTCTTTCATCAGCTTCAGGTTTTGATGGCTTGATGGCTGCATATGTTGGCTAGTTTTTTTATGCCATAGCTTGTTATGCAATTTAAGCCGACAGAGATTTCTGTCTAACTGAGTAACCATTTAATTGGCCGTCATTATAGAGTGAAAGAAATTGCGCAAGTCCACAAATTACTTAATGTTCAAACTGATTCCCTATTTACTCACTGCAGGATGGGCCTCGACCATTTTCTTTGAAAGAATTTCTTAAAAGGCGATGAGAAAGCAATTACATATCTGCCAGAAATTGTGGAGTGAAGCACAATTCCCTTATGCACATTTATCTGATACCTCTATTGTCAATTGTTGGATTGGTGTATGATTTGATCATAGGTGTAATGTTGTCTGAATGCTATTCTTGTATAAATTTTTTCATATCAGGCTATCTAGATCTTTCTAGTCTTACTGCAATAGTACAAGTTACAAATATTCATGAAAATGTGGGAAAGTACCGTCGGTATCGGATGGAGAAAATAATTTCCACCTGGGGAGGTTGATCTAGTGTGCAGTTAAGTCAAAACAGTAAAAAAAAAAAATACTCATGGTATGAAATGCATATGCATCTTTTGGCTGCATGTTCTTTGATGTAATAGGAAGAGTATGAGGAGTTTAGGGTCAGTGGTTCAGTCTCTGTTAGATAATATAAATTTGGCATTTGGAAAAGTTAATAAGAGAAAGCCATGAATGTTTAGCTAGTTTCAAAGATAGCCATAAATTGTTTAGCAAAAGCTAAGTATACATTTTCTCAATTGTTATAAATAGTAAGGAAAATCATTGATTAGTACAATCCAAAGGGAGAAGTAGATCGCTTCAAAGCACGGTTAGTAGCAAAAGGGTACAAACAAAAACCCAACATTGATTATTTTGAAGTTTTTGCTCCAATTGCTAGAATGGATATGGTATGCATGATTCTTTCCCTTGCTACTCAAAATCAATGGAAGATATTTCAGATGGATGTCAAGTCCGCCTTCTTGAATGGTGTGCTTGAAGAAGAAGTTTACATAGAACAATCGTCCAGTTATTTACAACAAAGAAATGAAGGTAAAGTGTACAAGTTGAAGAAAGCACTATATAGATTGAAGTTGGCGCCTAGAGCTTGATACACACGTATTGACACATATTTGATCAATAATGGATTCCATAGAAATCCATATGATCATGATTTATACGTCAAAGCAAACAATGATGGAAATGTTGTTATTGTTTGCTTGTACGTGGATGATCTTATTTTCACCAGTAACAATAGTAAATTACTAGAAGGATTATAAGGAGAACATGTCCATTCAATTTGAAATGACAGATATGAGTCAAATGTCTATTTTTTTAGGCATTAAAGTGAAGCAAACAAATGAGGAAAATTTTTTTTCACAGAAGAAATATGCATCAGATATTCTGAAGAAATTTAAGATGGAATCATGTAATCAATGCTGACTCCAGTGGAACAAAGATTAAAATTAGAAAAAGAAAATGGCGGTGATCTTGTCAATTCAACAAATTTCAGAAGGTTAGTGGGAAGTCTCATGTACTTGACAACAACAAGACCTGATATAGTTTATAGAGTTGAACGTATAAGTAGATTCATGGACTCGCCAAGACAATCACATTGGTAAGATACAAAGAAAATTTTGAGGTATGTCAAAGGAACAGTTGATGAAGGAATTTTTTTATTCAAGTTGTGCCAAGCCAAAGTTGATTGAATACACAGATAGTGATTGGACAGGTGAAATTGAAACTCGAAAAAGCACTTCGGGTTATGTTTTCCATCTCGGTACAAGCGTGTTTTCTTGATCCTCTAAGAAACAACAAGTAGTTGCTTTGTCAACAGCAGAGGCAGAGTACATAGCAAAAGTAAATTGTGTTACTCAAGTAGTTTGGTTGCAGAGAATATTAAGTGAATTGCAGTATCAATGAGATGGTCCGACGAAGATATTATGCGACACAAATCAATGATTGCTCTAACAACGAATCCAGTGTTTCATGGACGTAGCAAACATATTGACATTAAACATCACTACATTCGAGACTTGATAAGAGATAAGGAAACTGTGGTGGAGTATTGTACTTCGGAAGATCAAAATTGTTGATATTTTTACAAAGCCACTAAAAATCAATTTATTCTTGAAGATGAAAATTTTGCTGGGAATGATGAAGCCAAATTTAAGAGAGGGTGTTTGATAATATAAATTTGGCATTTGGAAAAGTCAATAAGAGAAAGCCATGAATAGTTAGCTAGTTTCAAGGATAGCCATAAATTATTTAGCAAAAGTTAAATATGCATTTTCTCAATTGTTATAAAATTGTTATTACTTGTAATAAAAATCATCAGAAAGAAAGTGAAAGATAAAGTAATAAAGAAAAAGGCTCCAGCGAGTTTTGTTTTGTGCCTAGAAGAAGTATGTTTATGATACTATTTTCAATATTATTCTTATAACAACACAATTATATTAAGGCAATTTAATTTATTTGCTAACATTTGGCATCAGAGACTGTTACATTAAAATGACTACAAGTTCAAGCACTAATCAAGTTTTGTCGGTGCAAACAATTGTTTTCAAATTCAATGGAAGATTAAATTTTTCTATGTGGAAACGGTTGATGGAGTTGCAACCAACGAGTATGAGTAATTATGAAGAAATATTTTGTCGAACCAACTGAAAAGGATAAAGAAAAAGCTGATGAGAAACAAATTGAGAAAGATTGTCTACTCAATGAAAAACTTTATTTTTGATATGTCAATCTATGGAGTTATCTGTTTTTTAGAAAATTTTCCATGCCAAAACAGCTAAGGAAGCTTGGGAAATTTTACTTAAAACATATAAAGGTGCTGACCAAGTTAAGCGAACGAGGTTGCAAGGATTGAAATGTTAGTTTGAGCTAATAGAGCAAGGAAAAGATGAAAGCATTCAAGAATGTTTTTCACGAATGGACAAACTAGTCTATGAAATGAAATCCAACGGTGATAACATAAAGGAGAAAGATATTCTAGAGAAAATTATACAGACTCTTTCAACTCGTTTTGATTACGTAGTAGCAGCAATTGAAAAAGGAAAATATGTTACCACAATAACTTTAAATGATTTGCAAGCATCTTTGAAGTCATGTGAGATACGGATGAATGAGAGATCAAGTGTCACATTTGAGCAAGCTTTAAAAGCTGAAACAAATGTGAGAAATGAGGCACATGTGCAAAGAAGGTCAAACCATTTTCAAAGGGGAAATAGTTCTAAAGGTAACTGGAGGAATTCTCAAAAAGACTTAAGCCAAAACACTAGAGGTAATGGATACTTTCAAAATAAATCTAATATTTAATTTTACAAATGCCAAAAGTATGGTCATTTTCAATCAAAATGCAAATCTCATATTCGGTGCCTTAATTGTAAAAAGTATGGTCACTATGGTCGAGAATACCATGATAAATCATTGGATATTAGAGATAGCCATGCTCGAGTTGTAGAAATTGAAGATGATGTGAAAATGGTGCTTACAACATGTCATGTTGTAGTCGATAAAAATGATGACCAATGGTTGCTAGATACTGGTTGCAGTAACCATCTAAGTGGGAATAAGGAACTATTTTCCAACTTAGATGAAAGTTTCTGCAACATAGTCAAACTCGATGATAATTCAAGACTTTAAGTTTTGGGAAAAGGAAAGATTGCCATCATATTGAAAAATGGATCTTTGAATTATATTTATGATGTATTCTGTGTGCCTAGTATAAGTCAGAATCTCTCAAGCGTTATACAACTTGTTGAGAAAGGCTATGATTTAAAATTCAACAAAAGAGTTTGCAATATCAATGATGATGAAATGGGTCTTATAGCAAAGACAAACATGTCAAGAAATCGTCTATTTTCAATGAAAATCAAGTATGATGATAAAATGTGTTGCAAAGATGTAGCTACTGATGATAATTGGCTTTGGCACACACGTCTTGGACACTTCAACTTTGAAAGCATAAAGTTTATTGCAAATAAGAAATGGGTTACTGGCTTACCTGTTATCCAAGTTCCCAATCAACTATGTGAAGCTTGTGTAGTATGAAAGAAGCATCGTGATCCTTTTCCTAAAGGGAAGGCATGGAGAGCTACAAAACTACTCGAGCTTGTGCACTCTGATTTATGCTATGTGGAAGTACCATCCATTGTAGGTGATAAATATCTTATTACTTTCATTGACGACTTTAGTAGGAAGACGTGGGTTTATGTTTTGAAAAATAAATCTGATGCTTGTGATGCACTCAAAATATTTATGGCGTATGTTGAAAGACGAAGTGGTTATACTCTGAAAATCATAAGAACTGACAGTGGAACATAGTATATTGTATGTGATGATTTATTGAGAAAGAATAGATTTAAGCATCAAATGACTTCAAGATACACTCCTCAATAAAATGGAGTGGCAGAAAGAAAGAATAGAACAATCATGGATAATGTGAGAAGTATGCTGCATTGCAAGAATTTACCTAAGAGTTTTTGGGCCGAAGCAGTGACTTGTGCAATATACCTTTTAAATAGATGTCCATTGAAAAGTATACGTGATAAAACTCCACAAGAAGCTTGGAGTGGACAAAAGCCAAATTTGAGTAACTTGAAAGTTTTCGGTTGCAATGCTTATGCGCATGTTCCAGATCAATTGAGGAAGAAGCTTGACGACAAGGAAAAAAGTGCATCTTTGTGTGATCGGTCACCATTTTTATCTAATTTTCATCATGCATACGATCTAAAGTCTGTCAATTGAGTAACATTTTATGTTAAGTATTATTGTTTTCTTAAGTATTTCATGTCTAGCTGATTTTCTTGCATTGTATTTTCTTTGAGTTATTTTGATGCTTTTAATGCTTTTTGTTGTTAGTATGCATATCTCAGGTTCAGTAGGGTTAGTCTAAAGCAAGAGTGTAGAGAATGGAACAAGAGTACAAAGGTCAAAGAGGAAAAGTACAAGCGTATGAAGACCAACACGGTCAGTGTCCCATGACACGGCCCGTGTCAACACAGCAAGCCATGCCCATACAAAAAACCCCTGGGCCAACACGGGTGCCCGTGCTGCCTAGCATGGCCCATGTCAGAAGGTCTGAAGCAGGAGAAAAGAGAAGCTATTTTGTGAAGCAACACGGCCCGTGTGGGCTCAACATGGCCCGTGTCGGCCTGCACGTCAGCTATTTTATTTTGGTCCCTTTTTATTAAATCTTGACCTTGAGGGCACTTTAGACATTCCAGCT